GGTCTATCAACCCAACCGGGTTGATGCACAAGAGTGCCTTTTTCTCAGAACTCCCTGCTAGCGAACATGCTATTTGGGGTGCATCCGAAACGCATTTGACACAACAAGGTGTCAACAAATTCAAAGCTGAACTTAAGTTCAACAAAAGCGAATTCAATTTTTATCCTGGGGCCCCAGTTCCCCATTTATCATCAGCTCCTAGTTCACTCGGTGGAAAGCAGACAGGAGTAGGTTTTTTCGCTACGATGCCAACCAAGCCAATTGCCAATTCTTGGCCAAAAGAGATACAAACATCTTGTCGCTTATTGTCCCACACTTTCAGGTACTGCGATCAATGGATCCATGGATCCGTCTTCTATGGCCCTGCAAAGGGTGCCGAAACAGCTGCAGTTCGAGCCGAAGCGGATAACATGTTATCCCATGTAACCCAACAACTTGTTTTTGGTCTCCAAGGCAAAAGGTTCATTTTAGGCGATTTTAATCAGTTACATGGCCAATTGCCGCAAACAGAAATTTGGACCAAACAAGGGTGGCGTGAAATACAGGATCTTGAAATGTGCCGGACTGGCAAACAGCCACAAAACACATGCAAAAATAGCACCAGGAAAGACTTTGTTTGGATCAGCCCTGAGCTACAAGCCTTTTGGGAATCCACCGGGGTAGAAAATTTGGCGTTCAAAGACCATGCTGCTCTTTACGCTAGGTTCAAGCCTTTTGGTAAACCCGAGAAAGTGCCACTTTGGAGGAAGCCCAAACCAATTCCTTGGAATAAGCTAAAAGGAGATATGCCGGTAGGTACTTTTGTTTTCAGACCAGAAAATGCTGACACCTTCTGTTTAGATTTGGCACACGAGTTTGAACAACGGGCACATGCCATGTCCCTCAGATCCACGGGTCAGCCATTACACGCGTGCCAGAGAGGACGCTCCGCTACCAGCTCCACAGTTCTGGTCCCGGAATCCCAGAGCCTGCTTAAACCGGGCAGACAAGGAGACCTCCAGCCGCAATTCCATGGCACCCATGCCACTTATAAAAGATGGTTTAAACAATTGAGGAGGTTAGAAGCTTTTGCAAGAAGCACTCATGCCAATCATAACCTTTCCCCAAATAAGATAATCCATGTAACCAGAGAGTGGAGAGCCATTTTGAATGCACCAGGTTTCCCGAAGGGTTTCCAACTGTGGTGGGCATGTCGCCCACACAGATACCCAGGGGTCCCATATGACCTACCCAATAGTCCCTTGCCGGCAGACCAAGCAGCCTTGCTTTGTCAAACTTTTGAAACTGAAGTGCGTGCACTTGAAGAGGTCTTGATCCAAGAGCTGAAAGCCAAAGCCCGAGCGTCCCATGAGGACAATCCCAACAAAGTCTTCAGGGATATGCAGAAGCCGCAGGTGCCGCCAATCCAAATGCTTACTGATATCTCTACAACCACGGTCACAGCAGTGGAGCCTGACGAGCAAGCCTTTTGTTTTGATGTGCCAGCCCATTTTGACCCAGAAAAGTCACTCTTGACACCACACGGTCCCATGAAAGCCATTGTAGTCGAAGAGGATAAAATTTGGGTTGAAAACCTTAATAACCTTCAGCCAGGAGATGAAGTCACCCAAGAAACCCATATAGGAGACCTCACCAGCCTGTTTGATCGTTTTGGGGATGACTGGGCTGCCCGTTGGGACAAACACAGACACACCCCAGAGGCCTTCTGGGACCCATTGCTTGAGTTCATTGACATGGCCATACCAGCGCATGAGCCCATGAAGTATGAACGCATCACTGCAGACCAAATACGACAGGTGATTAAAAGCAAAAAGCCCACGGCGGCAGCTGGACCAGATGGATGGAGTAGGCAAGACATACTGAGAATGGCGCCTGACCTTCTCCAGTCGATTGCCGACCTTTTCCACTGGATAGAAAATGGACACCCATGGCCACTTTCTTTAGTAACAGGGGTTATCCACGCACTTAAAAAGAAAGCAGGAGCATCCCAGGTGAAACACTTTCGTCCCATAACGATATTTTCCCTCATATATCGTGCGTGGAGTTCCGTGCGTTCCAGGCAAATCTTAGCTTTCTTGACAGACCAGGTCCCACTGAAGTGTTTTGGAAATGTCCCCAAGAAAACAGCCAAAGATGTGTGGTTTGGAATCCAAAGACAAATTGAAGACCACTACTTTGACAATAAACCTTTGACAGGTTGCATGCTAGACTTGGTTAAAGCCTTTAACCACTTACCCCGCCTTCCAGTCATGAAAGTAGGTGTCACCTTGGGAATTGCACCACAAATTTTGCAAGCCTGGACTTCAGCCCTGCATGTCATGGAACGCCGGTTCTATATCCGAGGGGCCACAGGGCCACCTTTGAGATCATGCAGTGGCTTCCCTGAGGGGTGCGGCATGTCAGTAGTGGGTATGATGCTAATCAATGTCATCACAGATCGATGGCTCCAAGTGCGAGTCCCCAGGTGCACCCTTTGGAGTTATGTTGACAACCTGGAAATCACAGCCTCCAATGCAGACGAAGTGCAACAGGGCTACGCTGAACTTTCCAAAGTGTTAAATATGCTGGATATCCCAATAGATACGGGAAAAACAATCTTTTGGTCCACACAGCCAAAAGAAAGAAAAACGCTAAGAGAAACTGAGTCGTCGGTAGTTTTTTGGACCAGAGACCTAGGTGGTCACGTTCAATACTCCCAACAAATGACCAACTCTATCGTGACAGGTAAGATTTCCAGTTTCCAACCTAGATGGAAAGTTCTTGCAGCGTCCAAAGCCAGCTATCGCCGTAAATTGCACGCAATCAAAGCTTTGGCATGGCCCAACATGCTGCACGGGATTGCATCAGCCTTTGTCGGAGCCAACCATTTTGATGACCTCCGTACAGCAGCCTTGCGAGCCTTGGGGGAACATAGACCAGGTACGTCTCCAGTCCTCCATCTTTCGATGGTTTGTCATCCGTCATCCGACCCCGGGTTTTATGCCATATGGATCACGCTGCTTGAAACTAGAAAATACATCTCAGTGGAAGCAGCCAGTCCAATTTTAACAGAAGCCAGCAAGTCTTCTCGTCTCCATCTAGGTCCAGGCCCTTGTCACCTTTTGCTTAGGCGTATGCATCAGTTACATTGGCACTGGCATCCCATGGGGAAGTTTATAGATGAGCATGGGGAGCAGATTGACATATGGCATGCACCATTACAAGAGCTACAACAGAGAGCATGTGAAGCGTGGCAAACACAGATAGCTGGAACAATAGCGGCACGGAAAACCTTTACCGGCATGCAACACACACATGCCATGCTGAGTAACAGAAAGCAACCGTACGATCACATGGACCGAAGCCTCCTCAGAACAGTTATGAACGGCACCTTTTACACCGCAGATCATCTGCCCAAAAGAGATGAGAGCCTATCATCTAGATGTCCATTCTGCGGAGAGGAAGACTCAGTTTTCCACCGTAACTGGCAGTGCCAAGCCCTTGAAGAGGCCAGAATGGAATGCCCGATGGATGTGCGAACTCAGATCTTGAATCAGCCGCCAGCCTTTTTCAATCATGGATGGGTTCCAGCGCCTCCTACACTGCAGGCATACCGTGAAAAGCTAGACGCCATTCCCAACACACCCATACAAAATGCAGAGGTGCACCTGCCAAAAGGTACACTCGACTTTTTCACTGATGGAGCGTGTTGGGGACCCAGGGATGCACTAACTCGCCTAGCGACTTGGGGGGTAGTTGTAGCAACTCCACATATAACCGGTGACTTTTCGCCAATTGATTCAGGGTTGTTACCAGGAAGATATCAGTCAGTCACTCGAGCGGAGTTATATGCAGCAATACAGGCCCTTCTTTTTGCGCGCCGTCAACAGCAGCCTTTTCGCATTTGGGTGGATAACCAGTTTGTAGTGAGAAGACTCCGATCCTTTTTGACCAATGTTTCCATTGAGATCAATGTCAACAAACCAAATCACGACCTTTTGCAACAACTGCTGGAAGTGGTGCAACATACCAAACATCTTTGTCGAGGGGTCATTAAAGTGTACAGCCATCAAGCACAAAACACTGCAACTGACCCGGTCGATAGATGGGCGTTTTGTGGTAACCAGGCAGCAGATGAATTGGCCACTCATGAGTTTTACAATCATCCAGATGTCCTGACCATGCGTCAGCAGTTGATTGCAGAAGTTTCCAGGTACGAGACCTTGCGCGACCAGGCCCATCAGGTGTTTATCAAAGTAGGTAAACTGGCAATGACGAAGAGCAGAACTGAAACCCAGCAGGCAGCGGAAGACCCGCGCCGAGATTTGCAACTTGCCCCTGTCAGGATGCGACCATGGACTTTTCCAGACCAACTGCCACCCGAGGCAGAACACTATTTTCTGGACGACTGGCCATGCATTGCTGAATGGATTAATTCCTTGCACGCAGGTGTTGGTACCGTGCAGTTTTGGTCATGGGCACAATTGTATGCAGATTTTCAGATGATGTTTGCAGACAGAGGACCCTGGTTCAACCTCAAACAGTTGCGCTGGGAATCAAAACACTCCATGCCCAATGAACCTTTTGTTAAAAGGACTCGGTGGCTCACAACGTATCTCTCAAACTTGGCAAAACAACTTGGTTTTTTCCTGCCAGCGGAATACCGGTTACCTTCTTCCCATGTCATGTGTTATTGGGTAAATACGATGCCGGTTCAAATCCCTGCGGAAAGAGCCACGGAGGTTGACAGATGGCTCCAAACGTGGCGAATAACTTTCTCACACTCGAAGCAACTGCGACTGATTGCATGATTTGGACTTTTGAACCCTTTCTATGTCAAGGAGCTCTGCTGCGGCTGTGTCCTCGACGCGAATCGGAAAAGCGGAAAAGTGTATATATGTATATATGTATAAACATATAAACATAGTAAAATATGTTGCAATATCCGCAACAAAAAAAGGCAAATAGAACCAAGATCTGCCACCTGTTGCTGCACTGCATCCCTGATCTGAGTCCGGCTCCACTGCAGATGCGGCATTGGCCTGATATGGGATCAGCGTATAGGACATGCTCCAAAAACACATCGGGCTCCATGACAGTTTCTCAACATTTGTGCACCCAATTCCAGACTGATTAGAGATTTTTTTTTTACCTAAATCCATCAGAAATGGTAGGAGGCCAGCAGTTTGGGAGCCCTAACCCACCTTCAAAACCCAGAATGGCACCGCAAATTCAAAAATCAACATCTGAGACTCTCAATGACTCTAGCCTTTGGCTTCGCAGATGCCACGGACCGCGCTACCTTACAAGGGCTGAGCAGCAGTGTCACAAGCGACTGAGGAATCCTTTCCCCTTCATATTCAATATATCCAATGAAGGACCCCATAGCCCCATAATGTTAATAATTGCAATTTTAAAAACATTTTTTCAGTTTCCATTGGTTTCATGGCTATTTCCAGTACAACCGTGCCATAGATTCAATAAATCTGGCTAACCAGTTCATCAACTGCAAAAATTGGCAATTGTGACATGGTGACATGGCAGTGGCTGCTGAGGGGGCTTCTCCAGCTGCTGCTGGCTTCAAAGGATTATAGCCTCAGAGCGGCTGTGTCTCGTCTGAAACTTGAAACTTTTCTGGAAGATGAGCTGATCTTTCCGTGTCATCACTATCATCACTATGCAATTGTAGGGGTACTTAACCATCCCTAATCACTTCTCAAAAAGAAAGGAGCAGCAAATGACCACAAAGTTATGTTTTACTTCAAATTCATAAATTCAAAGCTGTTGACACATTACCCTCTGGTAATTTAACATAGCTATTGAAAATCACAATTTTTAATGGGAAAATCCACTATAAATGGTCATTTTCAATAGCTATGTTAGTTTACCAGAGGGTACACACTTTGTTTTTGGGCCCAAAAATTCACGGCTTTTGGGCCATGGCAGCCCTTGTCTTGACGTCCCCCACCAGCCACGAAAGCCTTCGGAACATCTGCTTTCGGCCTCGCCTCCAAGGGGCGATGGCTTGCACAGTTCAGATTTCATTAGCTGACTATCAGCAACAAAACAAAAAACAACGACAAAAAAACACAGTTTTGTTTACAACATATATATATATATATATATTGTAGATTAGATATGTTTAGAACATGTTCATACCAACATATCCATTTTTTTGCATATCTGAACATCTAAAAATGTGCAGCGAGTCTAAAAAAACGGTTGTTCACACATATCTGCAGAATGATAGAATGATATCTAAACATAATCAACTTCTCCACCACCTGTGGCCTCCTTTGGAACCACCAGCTGCAGAGGTTCTGTGCTCATCTTTGGAGCTGAACTGGGGTTCGACGACTTGGGCGTGTCGTGGTGGTCGTGGTGTGTCTTTGGCAGCACCTGGGCGTTTGCCCACAATGAGTTGAAGTTTTGGGATGGGTTGAAGGAAATCTAGGAACAAATGCTGGTACATTGTCTGGTTGGTGGTATACCTGCCCCTCTGACAAATATGAGTTCGTCAGTTGGGATGATGACATTCACAATATATGGAAAAATAAAATTCATGTTCGAAACCACCAACCAGTTCTTATTCCCCTTTTCCTTCGAATTTCCCTTTCAACCCAGGGACTGCAACTAGGCCATGTTGATTTGTATCCCAGGTCACGGGTCTCATCCTGAGCTTGCAACTCCCAAGGTAATGGGCACCTGCTGCCTGTTTGCAGCCAGCGGACATATTGCAGGCATGTGTGCCATCAATGTATTCATAAACAATTGTGGATAACCAACTGCTAGTTGTTAATTTCACTTGATGGCAGTTGGATTTTCATAGCTGCTAGTTGCTTTATTTAAAATTGTTACTAGCGAAGGCTGATCAGCTGTTTATTTCAATTAGTGACCGGGCCATACTGCTAGTATCATCCAATCTCTTGACGTACGCTCATGATCAAGAAAAACTGGTCCAGAAACCCAAATGTTTTGGATCCCATTGATGGTTCTTGTCCTGACGGACCATTCAGGAATGCCCATCATTTGGCTCAAATCATCCTCTTGTGCGAATGGACAGAAAAAACTGCCAAACATGTTCGCCCACACAAGGAGTGCCAAACCAATTGCATACTAACAGCTAACAACTGTTCGCTTACACAATCTGCAGCTTAGAGTGCTTCAAAAAGTTGATTCATATACACCGAGGTGCCCCCCAGTTAGACATGGTTCGTAGTTCCCGCTACCTATACATATGTATGCCATAGTCCTAAACATGTGAGCCAACAGTAGTGCCCGGCCATGCCCGGGCGGCCACGCACTCACTTGCGCACCCAAAATTTCACTCACTTGCGCGCCCTCATCATCTTTCCAGCTGGACACAGGCACTGCACTTTCATCATCGTTCGGGGTGGGGTGGGGCAATAGCGTCTACGTTCCTGCGCGCGCGCAGGCACAGCAACCTCATCATCTTTCCCGTTGTCGCGCTGACATAGGCACTGCGCTTTCATATTTGCACAGTGTTGTCATGTCACTGGGGCCTGCAATTGTTGCAAGATGAAGCATTCAATACCAAACGGCATGTAGAGGTAGGTTCAATTTGATTTCGTCGTGTTCCCAAACTGGAATCAACAGTAAACATCTGAGACCGCCGAGGTGATGCTGATGCTGACGATGGTGGTGGTGGTGGTGGTGCTGTTGGTGAGATCATGATGATGAGGATCATGGTGATCAGGATGATGAGGATGATGAGGATGAGGATGAGGATGAGGATGATGATGATGATGATGGTGATGATGATGATGATGATGGGCGCACAACCGAGGGAAAAAGCGGTTGCACAAGCGAGTGAAATTTGGGGTGTACAAGCGAGCGGTCGTCCGCCAGGGCAGAAGTTTCGAAAAGAAACGATGAGTGCGAGAAATCAATGGCGACTATGTTCGTCTTTGAAATGCAAGAAGCCATGAAAAATTGAGGCTACGAGGTGCATCAATGAATGAGCCAATGGCCTGTGAGATGGCAATGTGAGATGGCAATGGAATGATACGAGAGCAAATGAAATAATTGACGTGAAAAACAACGCAAGAATGAATGCATGAATGGATGGATGAATGCATGAATTGATGGATGAATGCATTGCAATGCATTGGTGCATGAGTGCTGCAATGAAGGAATGGGCGGACATTGAACGAACAGAAAATGAAATCATGATTATGACTGCATGTCTGGATGGTTGACCGACTGGCTATCAATGATCCACCTCGTCGCTGAGCTACCGCTTCTCTGGGGCACCTCTTTTCTTCTCTGAGGGACCTATTATCTGGCTAATGTCTTCTCTGACCCACTTCTGCTCTGAGGGACTGCCCTCAGCTACTTCCTTTCCCGCAAAGCACTAGGCGGGTCACAGCATGCCCAAAAACTATCGGTCTGGCAGCGTGGCAGCGGTTACAGTGCGTTTAGCAACTTCTAGCTACAGTCCCGCAAAGCAGGAGCGTCCCCCAGTATGACTAAGGCTTTCTCCTGCACGCAGCAATGCCATTGACTTGTGTCACGCCTAGTTGGGGTCCCGCAGGGCACCGATGCAAGCGCTCACTACAGTCTCGTGCGTATTTTTCCAACCTCATCTTCCAAAAGTGGTGCGCACATGCAGCGAGAAGCACAGGCTACACTGTCTCGTGCGCATTTTTCCGACCTCATCTTCATGTGGCCGGACCATTCAATGAGAAACGCATTTTTGGAAAACCGAGCTCTCGCTACAGGCTCGTGCGCATTTTGTCCGCAATTTTTCCAGAATATAGGAAGCCCCAAAAATTGTGAAAACGCAGACCCTCCCTTGGAGACCCCCGGAGCCAACATACGCTTGTAAAGACACAATGATTTGAGCACTTCCATTCTTCACACGCATATATGCACACTCTCCTGGACTGTTACTGTGATCTGCTGCTTGCACTTACCAGCTGCTGTTCTACCTGCGTGGTTGGCATATGTTGGCATGATGACGTGAAGACTGACCATTGACATTCGTCCGTAACTCGGAAGTTTGCTGACTAAGTGTCCTTTGATACAGATACACCAACTTAGCCAGCTGGCCATGGGGCATGACGTTGCAGGTGCTTTTCCATCACCATTTGCTTGCCCAGTTGCTTCACCACACGGAGCCACATCTGCAAAGCAATGTCCTGCCCGACCCGAAGTCCAAAGGGCTTGGATTGGAAAAAAACGGGGCATGGATAGGATAGATGATAGGATGAAGGCTGAACATCCAAACTTGGCAACACCTCGCTTGAATTGGGCGCCCAACAATGTGGCTATATTTCGATACTGAATACTAAAGCTGACCTCTGCCTGCTGGCTTAGAAAGTTTGAATATTTTGAATGTTCAACCGCGCCAAGATCACTTCATATGCCACCCCGCCAATGCAATTGCCGACCCAGCGTCCAGACCAAAGTGTTGATGTCGCCGGATGAAGTCACAAGAAACGCAGCAAGGGGATTGCAACTTCCCGACCTGAACCCAAACGACAACGGTAAATGGCGAATGTCACACCAAGGGCTGTTCTCTTCGAACGCCTGCGTCACAACCTTCCAAATCTAGAAGGGCTAGGAAGAATAGCATTTTTTTTGGGCGAATCTTTAAACAATCCGCTTCCAGGTCATGTAGCCATTTGGCTTGTGTGATGCTTGCATGGCATGAGTTGGGCAAAATCCATGAAACCACTTCAGTTCCAAACAATCACCGGGATGCCGGGCAGTGCCAGGTATATGTGGCGGATCAAAGCTGCTACAGCTGTTGAAGCGATGATTTGGCTCAGCAATGAGCTGCGCCAATGCAGCTGGGCTGTGGCCATTGACGGATACCTCAGCACACAAGGAAGGCCATGGGTGGGTTGGAACCCGTGAAGCTGCTGGGCGCCTGGCGATCTCATCACCAACGGCCACCTGAATGGCGGCCGCACGCCCAGGAACAGCGGGGTGCGCCATGAAAACAACCATCTCAGGCCAGCACATTGGACACCTGGCTCACGCACAAAGCAAAATTTGACATCGTCATTTGTGGGGGCATACCCTCTTTTCAGGCATGCCCATCGAAGGATATTTTTTTCATCATTGGAAGCTGGCGCAACAAACGGACCACAACAGCAGCTTTGCCTGCGGGGCAGCGGCCGCACCATAGGCGGCAGAAGAGAAACATGCTTTTGGCACTTCGCTCACAACCTGCATGGGGCTCGCCAGGAGGCGGGCTTGACATGGTGAAACACAATGCGTCGGCGATGTGATGCAACAGCATCCTCATCGTTATGCTTATGCTTCTGTGGCATGTAGACAAATTGGTGGAAACATATGCAAACTCATCATCTTTTGACGAATTATGATTGGCAACGGATGTATTGCCATTGATGCTTTCCTGCAAATGAATCCGGCCGCTGAACACAACATTCACCGACAATGCCATGGCATAGCGCGACTAGCTGCTGGGACTCTGACCATGCGTCCTGCTATGTCCTTGAAGGACAGAGCGGCCCAACCTGCTGGAAGGCGAACTTCTCGTAGCATCTGCCTCCGTGCTCACACCCCCTTGGAAAGTAGAAGTGTGGCTCCGGCGAATTTGAATACGTGTAGGCCAGAAAAGTGCCAGGCCGTGCCAGGGGGGAAGTTTCGACAAGAAACGGTGACTGTAAGAAATCAATGGCCGATGTGTTTGTCGTTGAAATGCAGAAGCAATGAAAAATTGAAGCTGCGTGCATCAGGGAATGAGCCAATGGTTTTTGAGATGGCACTGGAATGATATGGAATGACTGACTGACTGGCTGACTGACTGACCGACTGACTGAGTGAACGAACAGATAAATGAATGCATGAGCCCCTGGACGTGTGAATGAAGGAATCAAGGAATGAAGGAACGAATGAATGAACTCCTGAATGAAGAATTGACTGGCTGACATGATACATGAATACATAACAAATGAGAACGGATTAGTGAATGATTGACTGAATGCATGAACGAATGAATGAATGAATGAACGAATGACTGAATGCATGAGCGAATGATTGAAAGAATCGATGAATGAACAAATGAACAAATCAATGAAAGAACAAATGAACAAATGAAAAAACAAATGAATTGAATCAATGAATGGATGGATGGATGGATGAATGAGTGAATGAATGAATGAGTGAATGAATGAATGAATGAATGAATCATTGAAAGCACGAGTTGAATGAAACAATGGTTGAACGAATGAGCGAATGAATGTATGAATGAACAAACAAATGACAGAAGGAATGAATGAACGAATGAACGAAGGAAACCCTTCATACATGCATGCAGGCACTAGCTAGCTAGCATCACACAGGCAAGCATACTTTTTCTCCAATGATCTGTAACACATCGTTTCCCAGTTGGCAACTGGATTCGGCCAACCAGTTACCAACTGGGCAGCACCACAGCCCCACAAGCTGGAAATAGGCACTTGGGCCAATAAGGGGGTGGGTGCAACAACCAAGCCCTTTCCAAACAATGTTCACCACTGGCTACAGCTTGCTGTAGGCACTGCACAAGCCACATGATTCAGTTGTGTGCTGCACTAACACATGGGCTGCATCACTCTTCAGGGTTTGATGCTTGCAAATATCAAAAGCAATACACCCATGAAGAAAGAAATGCATGAATGCACGAATGCATGAATGAATGGATGACCGAATGAACGAGGGAATGTATGTGTAAACACATGAATGAATGAATGAATGAATGACTGAATGACTGAATGACTGATTGAACCACTGACTGACTGATTGAATCGCTGAATAAATGAATGCATGAATGAATGAACGAATGAATGAATGAACGAACGAATGATTGAACAAACGAATGAATGAACGGGATGCCTGATTGCATGAGTGAATGAACGAATGCATGAGGGCATGAATGCATGCGTGAAACATTGATTTGATGAATGAATGAAGAAATGAGTGAATGAATGAATCAATGAATGAATGAATGCATGAATGAATGAATCAATGAATGAATGAGTGAATGAATGAATGAATCAATGAATGAATGAACGAACGAATGAATGAATGAACGAACGAATGAATGAACGGGATGCCTGATTGCATGAGTGAATGAACGAATGCATGAGGGCATGAATAAATGCGTGAAACATTGACTTGATGAGTGAATGAAGAAATGAAGAAATAAATGAATGAATGAATGAATGAATGAAGGAATGAATGAATGAATGAGTAAATGAATGAACGAATGAATGAATGAATGAATGAGTGAATGAATGAATTAGTGAATGAATGAATGAATGAATGAATGGATGGATGGATGAATGAATGAATGACTGAATGACTGAATGAAATAAAATGACATAACAATGAAAGTGAAATGAAATCAAAGAAAGAAGGAATGACTGACTGACTGACTGACTGACTGACTGAGCGGATGGATGGATGGATGGATGAATGAACGATGAGTGGATGCGTGAATGATAGATCACATGAATGAAGAAGGATGCAATAAGCGAACAAACGAATGACAGAATGGACACCGAATGCACGTCTGCATGACTGCGTGAAGCCATGAGTCCAGGAATGCGTGAGCGCATGAATGGATGATTCCTGAGTGGCTGAGTGACTTAGGGACTGGGAAAAAACAGGCGGGTCTCTGAGCGCAGGAGGATTGCAGGAGCGAAGGGGGAAGCGGGTCAGAAATGAACCGAAAATGAAATCATGATTATGACTGCATGTCTGGATGGTTGACTACAAATTCCCTAAGCCAAATCTTCGCCAAGCCACCTCTACACTGAGCTACCTCTTCAATAATCCACCTACCGCTTCTCTGGGGCACCTCTTTTCTCAGCTACTTCTTCTCTGAGGGGCCGACTATCTGGCTAATGTCTTCTCTGACCCACTGCTGCCCTGAGCGACTGCCCTAAGCTACTTCCTTTCCCGCACCCCTTTAACATGCGTTTATGAACCTCCAGTCCAGCTGCAATCGCGCAAAGCACTAGGGTCACAGCATGCCCAAAAACTTTCGGTCTGGCAGCCTGGCAGCGGTTACAGTGCGTTTAGCAACTTCTAGCTACAGTCCCGCAAAGCAGGAGCGTCTCAGCATGACTAAGGCTGTCTCCCACGCGCAGCAATGCTGTTGCATTTTGTCACACCCAGTTGGAGTCCCGCAAAGCACGATCGCACCATCAACTCGACGCGCTTTTGGACCTGAAATTGTACCCGCACAAATCTGGCGCTGGTCCGGATGCTTCACTGATTTTGTTTTTCGGCCAGCCGAGCTCTCGCTACAGTCTCGTGCGCATTCTTCCGACCTACACGTCGAGTTCCTCCTCCAAAGACCCCTCCTCAGAGACCACCATCGCCAAGGAGATCACGTTCAGCACCAAGAGATGCACCACAAACAGAGGCCTTGATTGCAAGGATCAGTGAGCTGACATCAGTGGTGTCACAGCTGGTCCCTATAGAAGACCAAGGGGCAGAAGTGATTCTCGCGACTCACGTCGACGTGGCAGGTCCAGATCTCCTCGAGTGAGCTCCCATCGACCATGGAGATCAGCAGTGCCAAAGTCAATTTGAGTTCCCGGGCTTCGGTTTGAACTTATCGAAGAAGGCTTGGCCGGCATTAGCACTTCTCTGCACCTGGGCATGCAGCAGCTGAGTCGCACCATGTCTTTGAAGCTGCCCATAGGTCATGTCAGTCTGGCCACGCCGCAGGTTGCGCCTCAGTCGAAGGTGAAGAGGCTGGACGCGGAAGCAAAGTGGGGCCATCCTGCATGCCGAATTGATGTGATCTGCGAGGTGCGGCTTGACAAGTCCCCGCGCCTTCCTCTGCAGTGCTCCTTCAGTACTCAGACCTGTGCGGCACTGCAAACATGTTCCAGCAGCTGTGCCCATGACCACTGCTGCAGCTGGCTCTGCATGGGCTGCAGTTGCCAAGGGCCTTGGACGCGCAATGGCAGCTTGTTGATCAGCTGCTGCACCTCCTCCCCACTAAGCCTAGCGCCAGTTGGGCCCATTATGGCCCATTGCCGCCAAAGGAAAAAAATGCAAGAAAGAGTCGCAGCTGCACTGGCCAGCCAAGAAGCCTGGGCGAAGTGCTCCAAGGCATGTGCAGCCGTCCAGCCTGACACTCACAAGGGTGAGCACACTCCACCAGGGCAAGGAAAGCAAAGTAACTACGGGCGAGGATCATGTCAAATACAGGATTTTTCAAACAGAAAATAAATCCTTTTAAGCAATCCCCCAAAAAGGTACATCCAACGGGCACGTTGGCTGGCAAGCTTCTGCTTGAAATGGCTATGCAAATGGTTTCTGGTACCCTCCGCAACTGATGTCACATACGACGCATGATTAAATGTTGAGTACCTTCTTTGATCTTAGCGGGATGCGGCATGATTCATGGTAGTGCACCATGTTAATTGCACGCCACCGCACGATCCACAGGCCAGTCTGTATGATTCACATGCATGCGCTGGCACAGCGGAAACTGAATCAATTACTGCGGTCGGTGCAGCATTGCCTGCTTGGGGGCGGAGCTCCTGGGGCTGAAGAAGTCCGCTCAGGAGTTCTTTCACCTTTGGGCCTTGGTGCGATGTGTGCTCATGTACCCCCCTTGCAGCCCAGCTCCCGTCGCTCCTACCCAAAGACCAGGCTGAAAGATGAAGCGCAAGTCCATGCTGTGATGGCAATGCCAGGCCACCCCATGGACTTCATCTCTTCCGCAGGCCTCAGTGAGCAAGTCTCGCCGCTTTATGGTCCCAGTCTCTGGGAGCTAAGGCCCGTGCAAAGGCAGCTCCCCTGCTAAAAAGCAGTGGGGGCAAAGCCCAGCCGCCCAAAGGTCAGCAGCCATCGATGGGCGCTCCTGGGCACGCACGGGATACATAACTGGCCGCCATCCCGTGGAATCCGTGGATGACCCCGAAAACGCCCCCGCCCCCACCTTGAAGAGGCTGACTTCTGGAGGGTGAAAAGCTGCCGAGCCCGCCTGGGAGGATGTGGGAAACTGCAACGCTTCTGACGCGCCGGCTTGCACAGTTCGAGTCAGCCAATCGGAAATTGAGAGCAGCACCAGGCGCTGCTGCCCATTGTCTCGCTGGGCGCACCCGAAGTCACCAATCTTAAGCCTCGGAAGTTGCATGGACCAGCTCTAAGACCTCACGGACGAAACGCTAGAAGCGCAAGCGACGCCTGCCTGCCAGTGCTGGTGGGAAAGAGGTTGGCAGGTTTGATGTCGAGGTGCATGATGTTGAGCCTTAGACGGAAGGGGCCTGAAACATGTGCCGACCGCGAAGCGGCAAATCCGAAGCTCACTGCGGCATCGCCAAAGGTTGAGGCCAGAGCCCGTGGACGTGACCCAAACCAGCCGCCAACTGCCCGGCCTAAGCAGCCAACACGCATACAGTTCGGGTGGATTCTTCAGCCTTCTAACTAAGCACTCAAACCCCCGTCCAGCATCAGCCTCACCATCCCATCAGATCTATCACCTCCACCATGCTGCATCCATGATGTCATTATGTGGGTTAGCATCAAAATCATGGGTGAGGTTGATCATCTTCAATAATTTTGAGGCGCATAGCCGCATGTATGTGTATGTACATGTGTATGTATGGATCCAGTGCCATGTCATCAAAGGCAAAATTTGGCGGGCAGCTCTTGACTTCGGTGAAGGTGAGCTGATAAAAGCGGACCTTGCAGCGAGAAGCATGTTTTTTGAACAAGGCCAAGCTATCGCTAAGTCTCGTGCACTTTTTTCCACAGCTTGTCCAAATGGAGGCCCGAAACCGTGGAAACACAGACCCTCGCTTGGCAACGCCCGGAGCCACCATGCCTGTAAAAACACAATGATGTGCGCACTTCCATTCTTTCGCACGCAAATGCGCAGTTGCTGTGATCTGCTGTTTGCACTACCAGCGTGTGATTGACATGATGATGTGCAGACTGACCGTGGACATTCGTCCGTAACCCGGAAGTTTGCTGAAAATTCTTCCGCTATCTTCCGCTATTTTGATTATCTTTCGTCTAATATCATTTTCTGATACAAAATCATACCAAAAGGCCAGCAAAAAGAGCAACATAAATCAACATAACACATAGCATTCCTGGCTGCTTCATGACCCCAATCCACCCCCAGTTTTTCCTTACCTCTTTGGCACCACCGTCCTTTTCCGTGGCCTCCTCCGCGCCGGAGAGACGTGGGTGAAGTAACCCAGGACGTCGACTTCAGCGGGTGCTTCACCTGGTCCAAGGGAGATCCCTAGGGAACCCCTAAGAAAAAGCTCTGGGATGGAGACTGTGGGGGAAAATCTGATGGACATGTGGTGTGACCAGCACTCAATCTTGAACATCCTTGAAGATCTGACACATGTATTTTGTATTCAAAAGATTTTAAAAGACATGAACTTGGAAAACATGATGTTTGGATACTAGCTTTCATGCCCAAACACCAACGACTTCATGGCTGTCATGGCTGCCATGTCCATCTGCGGCTTTGGCTACCAGCCGCAACTGCCATGAGAGGCCAGAGGCACCAGCCAACCGAGCACCCAACCGGCTGCCACCTGCATCGGAAAACCAGAAAAAAGGGTAGACAAAGGGCCTTCAAGCATCACTATGTTAGTCGGATTTTAAAGGGCTTTGCGGTATCATGATTCTAGTCGGATTTTGTTTTCCTATCTTTTGGATTCTTTTGGGAGTTGCTGTGGCTTGCTACAGTGCTACAGTATCAGTGCAGTGAATTAGGAATACCATCCTTAGGATGAAGCATTGAGAGCAAGAAGTCATGGTCATGGTGAAACTCTTCACTACCGGCCAAGTTACTACAAATCACTAGTCTATATCAAGAACAATCCATCTATCTGGTTGGACAATGGAGCAGGGATGAGCAGGGTCCAATACCATCAGCGACTCAGGGACTGCCTGAAGCGATCTTGAATGCGAAGTCAGCACTCACCACATCTTTGGGTGGCTTTTTGCTTTTGCCACTGACTCCTCTCACCTCATGCGTTCGAAAAGGATGTGCGAATCGACTTGGGTTGACAAGGACGCCTCCACCTACATAACTTTTGGATTTTGTTTTGATTGTAATTATTTCCTAATCCATCAACTGGCTTATCTTTCTCATCTTTGTTGTTTTGACATGTTTTGACACATTTTTGGACGGTTCTGAGCAATACTGTAGCACCATTCCCAGCCACATCCAACTAGTGGTTTCAACCCATCCCTGGAAGAGGCCGACTGAGGCAAGTTTAGGGATGGCCAATTGACAGCGAAGTGCGCACCGCACCACACAAAGCTCACATCATCTATGGCTTTGTGAAAAAATGGGTTCTCCTCAAATCGACTTGCACTGCTCAGTCAGTTGTGATTTTCCCAATTTTCACACGGGCCACAAATTGGGGGAGTACTCCCATCACCAAAGCCATCGTATTTCACCTTGAGCTGCCCAGCCAATAATCGCAGAACACCAGGTGCGAATGAACTTTGACAGGCCTAAGGTTTTTTTTTTGCACTCAGGATCATGGCTTTTCCAAGTCATCTGGATGGCGAATTTGGCCATAAAAACCCGGGGATGGATTACCCTCTGGTTATGACTAACAGCTTGCCATGGTATAGCTCGTCCATTTGTAGATGCTTCACCTATTAAAAATGGTGATTTTCCATGGCAAACTGTTTGTCATAACCAGATGGTACCCTCTGGTAAACTAGCATAACTATGGAAAATCACCATATTTAATGGGAAAAACCACTATAAATGGCCATTTTCAATAGCCATGATAATTTACCAGAGGGACCGGATCATGGCACACCATTTCGGGATGGTTCCGCAATGTTCCGCACGGCCCTGAGCTGCCCTAGCACGCGAGAGGCACAAAACTTCGCCTGGTGGCACCTCAATGGCACCGCATCAAACATGATTTGAAGCAACAAACCACAACTCACTATGCGATTGAAATTAGTTCCAAAATTGGAATAGCAGGAGTCGTTTCAGCATGAGGATTGGTTTCAATATATGTTTCAATATGCTTCATAATGAAAATCAACATGTTTTGACCGTTTTGACTTCCCAAAAATTAAGGTTTTCCATGGTTTTCCTGGTGTTCCGAAGCCACTCTGGGATCGGAGCCTCCACTTGAACGGGATCTTCTGCCAGTCGCACGGCCCAAAAGCGACAGCTTTTGGTCGCCATGGGAACCGATGTGTGGCAAAAGGTGCTTCTAACAGAGTTTCACAACTTTCCGAATCGTCACTCGAGATTCAAGATAAAGATCGAAAACGGGTGAACATTGCATGTACTTATCAATTATGTATCTGTTTTGGGTGTGGAGCTGGGGCTACGGTGAAAAATATCGAAAGGCTTGTAACATTCGCACATCAACATCCGCAGAACCGAGCAGCATACTTTTCTAAAATTGAAGCTGCTTGCCGTTGTGTTTGAATGCGCACTCATGCAATTTGAACATTGTCGAGCTGAATCCGGTGGCAATGACCCTATCTGGATCAACGTGGGCATAGGCGATACCGGCGATACCCCAGATCTTGGTTGCCACCTACCGCTGCTCAACGCCGTTTTACCGGTGCTTCTCCCATGAAAGAAATCTGCGAGGGCCAGGTCGGGAGCCAACTTTTGCACCATCTGCAGTCCCTGCAGTCCCTGCAGTCGTCAGGTTTACATCCACCAGGTGTCCCAACTTCCTAGCCGCTAGCGGCGATCGCCGATCTACCATGATCTGCCAGGTTGTTGCCTTGGGAATCAGCTGTCACACTGTATCCGCAGGGATCTCCAGATCGCCCATCAAACCCAAGCACTTCATGCAGGATGCTTTCTGTCCCACCTGATGGTGAAATATCAGGGTTTTGGGATCACCTGCCCCTTTTCGCGGAAGAGTTGTTGCCACTGCTCACCTTGCAGCTCGCCATCGCACACGGCAACCAGGGCTGCCAAGAACTCTTCAGGGATGGGTGCGAAACATTTCAGGATTTGTCCCGAAAGGTCCCTAGCCACCAAGGACAGGCAGTGTAATGGCAGCCGATCACACCAGAACGTGACATGACCTCCATATTTGGTGTCTCCGATCAACGGGTGCCCCAAATGTGCCATATGGCATCGAATTTGATGCGTTCCTGCAAGATGGCAGAATGAACCAGTCGTCAGAGAGAATTGTGCAATCATTTTTTCAAGTTTCAACCAAGAGTGACAGTAGCACACGGCAACTAATGCAAATCCTGTTGGCAAGGCAATTGCGAATGGTACTCAATTCAGTGCGGAGAAGGATCTTCCAGTCTCCGGATAGGCAAGAAGTACAGATGGACCTGCGACGCGAGATGATCATCTCCAGGGTGTTCCATAAAAATCTGGCATATGTTTTGTGGGACATTTGAGGCACCCCACCTCCAGGTTTGCCCCAAATCCTTTCATAGCGAGTGCTTGCCGCCTGACATCTTGCGGGAACCAGGCTTGAGGTACCTAGCACCTGAAACTTGGATCCTGTTTCCCGGGGTTTCCCGATCCACATTTCCCCCATCTATATATATTCAAGTGCGATTGCAACCGGGTCTTGTACAAAAGCTGACCGGGTCTCCATAGACGTTCAGGATCAAACAGCTCTTAGGGAATGGCAGCTGGCCATGGGGGTTTGGCGCGATGTGTCATCATCTGATTCAGATGATGACTTGGTACTTACTGAGGACACAATGGGGGATTTTTCACACACATATCACGCACCAAGATTGTTCTTTTGGGATTACTCCATACTCGCTTCCCCAGTTGCCTAGCAGGAGCTTACGCCAATTCAATATGGTTATGTCCATTGCGAACATCAGTTCCTGAATGCAGTGGGTTGCTTGACTCACCATTACGTCTTTTGGGGGGTGCTTGGTGGCACAGCAACAATATTTGATATCCAAACATATCCAAACTAATTAAGCCTCAATATGTACAGGGCATGCAGGGGTCTAAAAGGTAAATCATGTGGTCTGCCACCAGCATGCTGAGATTTTGGAGATTGGCTTCAGAAGTGGCAAGGCCCTTTTGGCTATGCTTCAGATTGTACCTCAACAGCAACCAATTGATGCACCAATTGATCCATTTTCTTCAGCAACGAAAATTTACCTTTTCTTAGGCTCGGGAGTGGATGCTCCTCTCATGGCCCTTCGGAAGCTTTTCAAGGACAAATCCCATTTGGTGACATATGTGAACCTTGATTGGAATGTCTTGTCTTGCTTGAATTGGGATGTATTCGTAGAACCAATCAAATGTTGTGAGGCCCCCCTCCTTTCCATGTCTTCGATCTTTTTACGCTAAGGAGCAGCTCTGAAAAGAACGCAACTGCACGTGACTTTTTGATTCAGAATCATGGCCAAGCACTGCAGTGCCTTGAGCAGCATTTTAATGATTCTGAATCAGAAACGCAACTGCAATGGACTTCCTTAAGTCCTTCTGAAACATCATGCGTAGGTGTTGCGATGATGTCTTCAAAGTCAAGGGTGCTCAAAGCCATCGCAAGGTCAGGGTGTTTTTGATTTGAGTTGACATGAACTATATGAAAACATATGACAAAACAATTTCATTGATTTGAAATAACATGAACTATGAAAACATATGACAAAACAATTTCACCTTGGGACAGGTTGGCTTCTACGCAGCAGGATTCCCCTGCACACCTTACTCGCTGCTTCACAATGGAAGTTTGCTCTTGGGGGAGGAAGCGGCAAAACCAATGTGGCAATGCATTCGAAATTTTAAGCGGTGTCAACCTGCTGTTACTTGTCAATTGTTTGACGGTATGTTACCGTAGCAAAATGCAACTGCATGCTATCACTTTTGGATTCGGTTGGTTAAACTTTGCCGAGTCTGGACTCTTTGAGAATGTCCCGGGGATACATCGAGTCATGGACAAGATCCTTCCTGTTCTCCAAAGTCACCTTCCTGAGTGGCTTGTTTTATCAATAGTTTGCAACTGGTTTTGGTTACCGCAAAGACTGCTTGAAAATTCATTATAGGTTATTATTGGCAACCAAGGTACCACGTGGAGGTGATGGATTTGAATCCGTGCCTGGTTTATTTTAACTAGTGTGCTGACTCGTCTGGCAAATAATTATTACAACCTTTGTCAGCAGCAAATTCGAAAACCTCAAATGGCCCCATGTCTGAGGCGACACTTGGGAGCTCCCATCAGCCGAGACCGTGTCTTCATATTGCTGGTGCGGCATGACTTGATGATCAATGCTGCCAGGAGAGATTATCATCAGTTTGTAACCAACATGGTGGATCGATTTCGAACTGACTGCACCCTGAAATGGTATCTTGGATGGCTTTGCATCAACGCAACTTAAGCAGCACATGCACGCATTGCTGTATTTCAGCAGGCGAAGTGTGATTCAGAGCTCAGGCAAGATCTTTTGATGCCAAAGGACCATTGGAGGATCCAAAGAAGCATTACGCAACACAAGCAACGTGCTTCTAAGACCAAACGACAACAGAATAAGTTACTTGGCATTCCCACAAGCTATCGATCTTGAACTTGAAAATGCATATTCAAAGTGCAATCGACATTTATCAACAATATGTTGTTGGACAGCAACCTAGGCAGAACAAGGATCGCAAGTGGAAGGTGCTCCACAAGCAATGGGCCAAGGAGAACCAGGTTGCTAAGTTTAAGTAGTAGTTTATTAGATTGATTTTATCAACCAGTTAGTCTCCAATGAAAACAATCCCCTTTTTCACCATTGTCAAGACAGACACAACAGTATGCTATAACAATTGGTTACATATGTTGGCTCAAACTGAGGTTCGACGCTCTTCTGGGCATTTCCGAAAGCATTATCCACTGGCAGCTTCGCAGATCAGTTCCCAGCGAGAAATGGATGCTACTCGATTTCAATGTTTCCATTATTTCTCCCCTTATTATGAACATATCGATCTATCCCTGCTGTATTTTGAAACTTCATCATGGGTGTTGGAATTAGACAACATCTAAGGCTTTGGACAAGATCACAAAGCAAATGGATGGGAAATTCGATGGGTGTAACACATCGCAGTCCTTGGGGCGCATGTCTATCATGCACCCTGGTCAGCCCCTGATGTGTATAACGTTCAATCCTCAGCTATGCATGCAACCTTACATGGTTCTTAGATAGTTGAATCCTCAGCTATGCATGCACCCTTACATGATTCCTTTCACATTGAGGCCCCAGTCAAAGATTCTGGATCTTTCCCAAGAGCGTTTCATCACAGGCCTGGGGGCCCCTCAGCCTCTCTCTCATGCTCCCATATGCGTCCTCAACAGGCATGGAGGCGATGCTGCTGATGGGTCTGCCCATTGACAACCTTATGTTGGACAAGTACAAAGACAGCGCCTCTTTTCAGCACAAAATGGTGTCTTAAAGTGTCATGGTGTCTTAATGCTTGTCAAAGCAGTGATGCTCATCCATGCTTGTAATTGTAATCTGGTTCACAAAGGATTTGCTCAAGATGGCGGGGAATTCGATTTCGATGCGAGCTTTGTATGTTGTGATCCTGATTGCCATCAAGTCGATGAACCCTGTGAAGCTGCGTGACTACTTGGTAGGATAGTACATGAAAAGTCAAGCTGCCTGAATGCTTGGCACTAAAACATATGTGGGAATGGTGGACCAAAAAGGTGTCATCGCCGAACTGCTAGTCAATTCATAGTACCCCATTGCAAGGTCAACCCATGGTTGAAACATGGCAGCACATTGGTTGCCACACAGGAGTTTTTTGTAGGCTCTGAGCTGATATGATATGCCATACAACCATATACAACCAGCTTAGAAAAGAGTTTAGCCCAAACCATCTATCAATACCAATCAATCGCCTGAGTTATCAATACCAATCAATCGCCTGAGACATCAACCCAAATCACAGCATGTAATCATGTAATCTGGAAACACTGCCATATGCCTGTCCTTGGGCGATGGAATGCAGATGAAGATGATGACAAGCCTGGTCAACGGGCATCGGGTGGATGGAGGTATGATGATTCTGATTCTCCTTCCAATAGCAGTTCAGATTCAAATGCCAATTCGGAATCAGAGTGTCTGGGGTTGAAGTTTTGAGTAAGAGGTTGATTTTCACAGGACTATTCCAAACATTAGATACTGTTACTATGTTCAATGTTTTTCAGAAAGGATTCAGAAACTGTTCCTGTGTGAGCTGTTATCTAAGGCAGTGCGAGAGCTCTGGCTCCGACGAGTCGACTAGTCAGACTGGTGTTTGCTCCGTGGATTTGAAGCTGAGCATGCTGGAGTCCCACCACCAGCTACACGGCCAGGTAGACGTGTCTGAGTATGCAACCAATGGTGCCTCTGTGAAACGCATCAAGGGTGCCCTTGCAGATCCCCAATGCTCCTGTGGGAAGTGCACGATGCCTCTACCTGTCTTAGCTAAGTGTTGCAAAAGTTTCTGGGGGCTGCCCAAGCAACAACAAGATGCCATTCTTTGGAGTCTGCAAAGCGAGGGCAGTGGTGGCTCTAGAAAATGGTCGATAGAAGGACAGTAGTATATGTTCCAAACAGGTTTGTTCAAAAAATGGTTGATACTGTTTTGTTGAAAGAAACAAACATATAATATAAACAAATACTTTAATACTTGAATGATATAATTTATCTAAGTAGTATATGTGTATGATATTATGATAAGATATGATATGATATGGTATCATATTATCAGTTATCTGCAGTTGTGCCAATCCAGCTGGGTAGTCCTCCAACAGCTTCAGGACATGCTCTGTGTCGATCAGCCTGGCTGCGATTCTTGGGAATTGGCAAGCAGCGGATTCTTCGTACCAAGCGGAAATTCCGGGGTCTGGATGAAAGGACGATAAACCAAGGAATCTCATCTTAAAATATGTTTTAAAGGATGGAAGATAGGTCTAAACATGGTCTATTTTTTTCTTTGGCATGATTCTACCCTTGAGGATCAACAGCTCATCCAGCTAAGCAAACAGCATCCTGCATGGCCTTCTTCCAACATATGTATTGGACAGCAGCGGAGTCTATGGCAACCAAGTTCTTTGGCTCTTTAAGCACGGATTAATTTGATTTTGATTTTCAAATCTTGGGCAATGTTACCCAAACATACTCGTAGTTAAGCTATATATTATAAATATGGTTTGTTAGTGGGCCCACTACAGGTTCGAATCTGCTGAGACTGCTCAACGGTCCAAATCAGATGAAGAGCTTCGCGAGCAGTTGTTACGAAGACTTGTAGATCGAGAACTTTTGGGGGGAACCACCCAGATACTGCTGGAATCCAATATTCAGTCGCTTCCATTGCGGGAACTTCCTCCCGGTTCAACAAGCTCTCTGTTCTTGATGTACTTAGCTTACATTCGCCAAACAGGAGATCCTGCTGATGCTGCCTCCCGCACAACCTTCTACTCTGTGGCAAAAGCTTGGAGGCCATGCCTCCGTTTCAGGCGGAAGACGGAGCATTCTCTCTGCTTTGAATGCAGCCGGCTGAAGTCAGCTATTCATGGTTGTAAAGAAGCTCGTCTGTATGAATGTCTCTAAGACTCTAAGCTATGGTTTCACCTTCAATTTTACACATCTCTAGACTACGAATTTTGATCTGCAATCCTCAATGTCCGAAATCCCCAATGCAGTTAGAATCCAACAAGGTGCTTTCCGGTTCGGTTTTCAACCAACACTCTGTGTTTCCGACGCTAGGACTTTGGACGGCATGCAGAACTTTGCCGGCAACTGTTGGACCACTACAATGTCCAGTGGCGAAACCGACAGCAATACTGGCAAGCCCGAAGCATGGTGGAGAGAGACATCCTATGTTGTATTATTGATTCCTATGATAAATCAAAGTTGCTTCTTCCAACATGGCCACTTCGCAGATGTCCAAAGAGAACGGTTTATGAACTGCATCAACGAACTTTGGTTGTGGATTCAAATTTAAACAGATGTTGCTATTTATTTAATAGATTTTTTGGGTCACCGCACCTACCAACAAACGGGTATCTTTGTTCAAGTTACTTTTGGCCTTCCTCTTTGGGTTATCATCTGAGGAGTATCTCTTACCTTGACCTGCTGCATCATGCACGGCCATGGTGTTTACCTCTATGTAACTGATGAAGCAATGAGTGCTGGCTCCAGCTGGCAGTGGGAATGTGTCACTTAACAAAAGAGTGTTTTTTTGGTTTACCCCATGAACAAGGCTCTAGTGGGTGAGATGTCAGAGTTGCTAAGTTGGTAGCTACCTCTCATGTAAGGTCATGAGATCACTTCAGAAAGTCTTTGTTCGAACCCGGGCACGCAACCAAAGATGGCCACAAGAGCTACTTACCTCAGCATTTTATTTCCATCTTTCTCTATAAATCCGGACTTGACCAAGAATAGCCTATCCACTATCCACAGATCTATTAATGGGAATGATATTTTCGTTGGGGGACGAAAGGTTTCAAACAACAACCCACCCGCCTTTGGTGCAAAGGATGTGGCTGCAGAGCGACAACACTGTCAAGGAGTGCCGCAGCACCTATGCAGCCCGAATTTTGAGTTCCATGACTATGGCAGGGGTGTGGTCCACATCCAGTCAGAACTTTCTGGGTGTGGGCCACACCCACGAAGATGTTGATGGAGTGCTATCGTTATGCAAAGCGGCTATCGATAGCTCCACTGGTATTCAGACCCCACAAGATTTGATTCGTCGGCTTCAAGAGAAACTGGGCCCGGTATTCTATTCACGGGGCGTGGATTTGGATGCTGAGCTTGTGAAAACTGCAACTCATCAAAAGCCATGATCATGGATATTGTATTTTATTTTAAATCAAGGATAGCTGTTTATTTCCGTCTCCTGCTTTCCTGCCCTGATTCCCGTTTTCCCTGGCCTTTCAAGGTGAGAGATTGGGCTGAAATTGCACCCGACTCTGCCACGTTCAAGAATGCCTACAAGATTCGGGCTCTCAGAGAAGGTGAGACGGACACAAAACCTGTTCCACACTCTTTCATCTTTGCAAAGAGAGGAAGTTTCTTGCCATTAAAAAAAACTTCCAGAACTAGGAGGGTGTTTCTGTTTCTGGTTTGTCACCAAAAATATCAAGGGTGGGCCAAAGGGTTGCACGGAGAAAGTGTTTACTTGTTTGTCTTTATCTCCCCCGCTCACCAAAAAAAACAAGGTCTTCCAGGACAAGGACGTCATCTTCAGTTGTCGGAGAGATTACCTAGAAATCTCAGGGCCCAAACTGAGGAAAGTGCTAGAGGTGATCTCTTTTGCCTTGTCAAACATGAAATGTCTGATCAAGGACTTAGTCAGGAACCACTACTTGTGTGGCCATCGGCCTTCATGGACAAGTCCAAGAATTTCCTTCAGGTTGCCAACACTACGCAGAAGGTGCTGCATCCGCAATTTGAGGATGAGCGGAAGGGTGACATCGAGAAGCTCATGCTTGCTATGAGGAGGGATTTTCCTGCCTTGAGTCGTGCAGCTGCATGGTATGAGTCGTTGTTGGCCCGCAGGCCGGAAGTGATTGCAGAACCCTACACAAAGCTCAGCTTCCTGGATAATGTGATTGATGAAGGTCCATCAATCCATGATTTTCGATTTGCTCCTCCGCGGCCAATTCTGATGCCGCATCGTTTGGAGGTTGTGTTTCACAGGCGTTAGGATTCGAACATGGGGATCTCGGGGAAAAACGGGAAACATTTACTAGATGGTGACCAGGTGCGGTCTGCAAGTTTTTGAAGATTCATTAAACCCCATGGGATTGCTAATCCGTTTCTATGTCGAGAATTTGATCAAGCGCTTGTGATCCCGGTGTTGGAATCAGCCATGGCTGCTACAGAACCAGACTCTGGAGGGCCCATAGAGCAGTTGAAAGCGTACTTTGATACAGTGTCCCGTTACAACTTATTTACATTTAATTTAATTTCATGTTTTCAGCCCGAACTTTTTTGGTTTCCCTACCTTTTTCCTGTTGTGTTTATGGTCATTGCATAGGGCATAAGTCCAACTTACCTAGGTCATTGCTGAATCGAACCTTGGAGATCACCTCAACAGAGTATTCCAGGATAGGAGCAAAATGGCAGAGGAGGGATGCCTTGAAAAAGTAGGAAAGAGTAGGAAAAAGTTGGTGGGTTGTTTGGTTGTTCAAATGTTTTTATCAAACCTGTTGAAGTTTGGTCCCTGAAGGCCATTGACTTCTACGTTGCTGACAGGTTTCAGGTACCCAATCAGAAGCTTCACCTGTCAGCCATTCCACGTGGATCTCTCGAGGAATGCTGGCTATGCCTTCGGCATTTTGACTATGGACCTTCTGGAAAGAATGGATGTGGGGTGGAGTTCAAAAACAAAGTTTTTGGTCGAAAAGGGGTGTTCTTTCTTTAAAGGTTCGTGCGTACAAGGATGGTTTTAAATCATTGAGAAAATCGTGGCTGTTAACTTACGATTCAGGGGAAAAGGTTGAACTATGTTGTTCAAAAGTTTTGTCTACAAG